AATTTGCACCCTAAAATAAGAATAGTGGCCAACAAATTGCTATTGCATTGACATCATTATTAGTGGGCATTGTGACTGTTATTGTCTATATTGCTTTGTAGACTAATATAGTAGTGGTAGGGTGCCATGCCATCTTGCTACATTGGTATAAGACATTATTGACGACCTAGTTGATATCTTTACCCAATCTCTACGAAATCCTCAAATAGTCTTCATATGTGACAAGAAAATATGGCACAAATATATTCCTATTTTATATCACATGTGCCACCCTGCTACACCATTATAGCATGTTATTCACAACATAATCGATATCTTAATCAAATTACCACGAAGTCCTCAAATAACTTTCATATGTGACGAGAAAATATGATACAAATACATTCTTATTTTATATCACGTGCCACCACGATACACCGTTATAGCACGTTATTCACAACATAATCGATATCTTAATCAAATTACCACGAAGTCCTCAAATAACCTTCATATGTGACGAGAAAATATGGTACAAATACATTCTTATTTTATATCACGTGCCACCACGATACACCGTTATAGCACGCGCCATTGGCAACCTAGTCGATATCTTTACCCAATCTCTTTGAAGTCCTTGAATAGCCTTCACACATGACAAGAAAATTGTTAGTGTCCTTTGGGATTATTGTACAAATACATTCCTATTTTATATCTCATGTATATTGTTAAAAATTCCATATCAGACAATATATAACATGAACATGTGTTTATAAGTGAGGACAATCCTCACTCTACCAACCGGTTTTGTAGGGTTGAGTTAGACCCAACCACATTTCTTAACATGGTATCAAAAGCCTTGCTTAAGATCCGATGGACCGTTTTCTATGGTTTCTGCTATCGGGTCACCCACCATTTATTTCCACGCTCCAGATGTTGAGTCCTGGGCGTGAGAAAGTGTGTTAAGAGTACCACATCGGACAATATATGACATGAATATGTGTTTATAAATAGGGGTAATCCCCGCTCTACCAACCAATTTTGTAGAGTTGAGTTAGGTTCATTCAAGTGAAAGTAGCAAAGACCTTCCAACAAATTGCAACCTTGGTTAAACTAGAATTGCTGAGGAAAGCCAAGACCATGGACTGTCCTGTAATTAAGATGGTGTACTTCTGTTCTCAATTGGTTATCCATATTCTTCATAGTATGAACCTCAACTCTTGGCTGCTTCAGTGGCTAATCTGATCAGATTAGCTAGCAAATCAAATGTTTTGTCCTGTAATTAAGATGGTGTACTTCTGTTCTCAATTGGATATCCATATTCTTCATAGTATGAACCTCAACTCTTCATAGTGTGAACCTCAACTCTTGGCTGCTTCAGTGGCTAATCTGATCAGATTAGCTAGCAAATCAAATGTTCAGCCTATGCCTTGTTGGAAAACCAGGAATCATAATGTTCTTGTTGGAAAACCAGGAATCATAATGTTTTTAACAGGTTCGTTTTTAACCTCATAGAGCAGAGCTCTTGTGGCCAATCCCCCCTCACCCAATCTCAAGGTAATTAAGTCCCTCCAAGCCATGGATCAGCAAAGATAAATGTAAAAGCAAGCTGTTTTGAAAACACTTGTTCGGGTTGGGCAGTTTGGAAATGTAATTTTGAAAATACAGTGTTGTCCCCTGTTCTAGCTGAGGCGTTGGGTACAAGGTGGTGCCCCGGACTTCAACAGAGTAATTATTGAATCTGATGCTGAAGAGGTTGTTAATTGCATAAATAGATCCTTACAACTTGCAGCTATATTGATCTGAATGTCCTTGTCTCAGTTGGAAAGTGCATCCGTGTTTAGTATTAGAATGCTCATAAGCTTGTTGGTCTAGCTAGAGATCTGGGGTCTAAACATGGGTGGGAAGTATCCCTTACCATGTTTATCAAACTGTTTGTATGGATTCCATGTTTTCTGTTAATTGGAATCTATTTGCTTCTAAAAAAAAGAATGATTTCTTAATCAATATAAATCCTAAGTTTCAAAACTGATGTTTGTTTTCCAAAGCCAAAATAAATCAGGTAGTATATATTTTATAGGGTCATACAAAACTGTATCATGTTTCATTTGGATTCATTTTACTTACGATCTTAATACCAAATGAAATATATTATGCAGCTGTTCGCGGTAATTAAGAAAGAAGTGGTAATAGATGCAACAAATAAGGGAAACATTGCACGCGTTATAAACCATTCTGTAAGTTGTTTGCACCTATCTTGTTTTTTAGTACTTCCTTTCCTCTACAATGCAGATAAACGACAGAAAAAAGAATGGCACAACTGTTAGTTTTACATTACAAATTATGTTCCTGATAAAAAATAATGAATCAATGTGACTGTTGCAGTGCATGCCAAACTGCTTTGCAAGGATTCTGAGTTTGAGTGATCAGGAGAGCGTGATTGTTCTTATTGCCAAAACCAATATTTCTGCTGGTGAAGAACTAACGTACGGTTTTTTTATGTGTTATGCATGCAAACAACCTTGCACATTGGGCTCTGTCATGCAACATAATACTGCAGGCATTTTTCTGGTTCAAAAATGAAGTTTTTTTTCTGACTTTATCTTTTCCAATTCAATGTTTCCACAGATATGACTACTTGTTCGATAATGAGCGGGAAGAACTCAAGGTTCCCTGTCGTTGCAGAACCCCCAAATGTAGAAAATTTATAAACTAGGTTGGTTACTGGTTTCACGTTGTTTATGCCAGAGTAATATGTCCATTGAGATTGTAGTTTTTTAACTTGTATATCACTATTTATTACTAGATGTTTTACCTGTGCTGGGTTTGATTAAAATATTTATTTAAAATACTTTTACAGGTAAAATATTTCAATTTTGTGATAGAAATGTTTTAAATTGTAGTAATATGACTAGGCCTGTTCATGGTTTGGTTTGAAGAGAAAAATGAACAAAACCAAACTGAACCACAAATTCAGTATGAGAAAACCGAACCGAACTGCATTCATTTCACCTTAACTAAACCAAACTGATTCAGTGGTTCGGTGCACTATATTCTATTTCTGTTGTGAGTTGCAGAAGTGGATAGATTCACTGTTAGTAATAGTTCACCGAACCGGAGACGTTGAAAGTTTGTTAGTGAGATGCAGTGTTAAAACACAGTTTGGTTCACAAATAATATAACTAGTTCAGTTTTTTTAAAGTGGTTTGGTTCAGTTCATGGTTTGGTTTGGTTCTAAACAAAATTTAGACAGCCCTAAATGGTGGTGTCTAGGGTGAGGGCTCAAATAAGCCCTTCACCGGTGAGACCATAAATAACTACCTTAGATACTAATAGATGGTCGAGATTTATTGATAATAAAAAGAGAACACATACATCTTTTCACTTACAATCTTACCCTTATTTCTCTCTCATGTTACCTTGTTCTGAGTTAAAATATTACAGTTACACCATGAACACCATTCAGCCATTTTCCTTTGTCTTTTAAAAATTATATGACAATCTGTAGTAAAAATTTGTTCCAAATATTTGTGCATAGGGTTCTCTAACAGATGTATTAAAATGGTTGGATAAAGAATCATGCAAGCATTTAATATTTTACTTAACTGTTATGGCAGTAACATAACAATTGAACAATTTATTGAGGTTTATAAAATAAGTACAGTATAACTTTTTATTCTTGACCAGACAATGAAACATTGAAGCATTGAAGGTTAAGGTTTTTAATGCAAAAATAAAATAGCACTGTTTGCAGGTCTGGATAATTCAGATTTTTGCAGAGACTTATATTTCTCTTTTCGACATTGCAACAACAAAAGCAGAAAATTCAGATGGTTGGGAGTTAAGTGATACAAGAGAAAAGTTGAATTTGAAAAGGGGAACTTCAAAATTTAGGAGGATGTGATGTTTGGTTGAACAGGGGTATGAACAACTTGTGGGGTGCGGCCAATTTTCTGTTATATTAAAACTAGGTTAAAATAGGGGTATCTCTGCAAGGAAAAAAACTTAATCTTAAATGGGTAAGAGATAGAAATACCAATAGGTGTAAAAATGCATATGTATTCTCTTTTTTAAATTTAATAAATCACAACCATTGATTAAATATGACGTTAATTATTTAAGGTTTCACCGGTGAGGGATTTAAGTGAGCCCTCATTCTAGACTTTACCGCCCTAAATATGACTATTTAAAATTAATTTCCACTCTAAAAAATTTCTATAATTTCTAATAGTTAATAATGTGATTGTTATTCTAAATATATTAATTACGGTGTAGAAAATAAGATTAGTGAAAGAAATACATACCTCATTGAAAAACCTTAACATTTGTTTTGATATCTACATATTAGTTTCTACAACTCCGCATATTTTAGATGTAATCCATAATTTTTTTGTTGAGAAAAATGTGCCCAATAAATTAGTATTGACATAATGAAAAATATTTAAGATAATAACATTAAAATTGCATAAATCAAATATTTTTTTTTAAAAAGAAAATGGAAAAAAGACATTTAGATATTACCTTATGGTAGAATTCCAAAGCAACCCTTGGAAGATGACAAATAGTCAATACTTTCAAACTATCTCGTTCAAAAAAATCTTCAAATTAATTACAATTATATCGACATCATAAAAGCATTAAGGACAATAGCACATAGATTGGATAGATCTAAGTAAATAAAATTTACCAAAAATATACTTAGAAAAAATAGTGAGAAAGGTATGAGTAGAAAAAAAGAGATTGATGGAAAAAAAAATACACATCTCATTGAAGAACATATACATTGCTTTTAATTAGTAATCCAATAATCTTCACATTGGTATCTATGGCTCAATCTATTTCAGAAGATGTAATTCAATGAGTGAGAAATATAGATCCTAAAGATAATGAAAGTTAAAAAACTAATGAAAAGTGCTTTTAAATATATTAATGATAGAATAAGTTGTAGAAGTTAATGAAAAAGTTATTTGAAAATTAAACCAAAAGATATTTAGGATTTAATAGAAGAAAATAGGAAAAACTCCCTAGACTACAAACTTTTGAAGGCCTGCAAACCTCCTAAATGTCCACAGGCTTCTCTTAAATTTCCAAAAGGTTTGTGGCCGAGTCAAATTTCCTAAATTGCAATTCGCGTTGGAAATTTCACTTCGTAGAAAGCAACTTAGCATAGTACCTGAAACCTTTATGTCGTCAATACACCCTTTAAAAGATGTGACTTGTGCTACCTCTGCTCCTTCATCCAGCCAACTGTTATTTCAAGTAGATTATAGAAAAATATAAGTTTTGAGTGAAACCAATATCAAGTGCTAAACATAAGAGTATAAATTATAATGATTTAGTGTAAATATTTTTGCAGATGAGTTTCCCATTATACTTTCTGCCAGCCAGTTGGTTGGATCTGATTAGTGAGATTAGGTCATCCAACTCAAACAACTTCTGCCATGCTCTATCTAGATTCCAATCCCTCGAATAACAAGATTCCATTCATAAATTCATAACCAACAAGGACAACATTCAGTTGTATTCCCACAAACTGAATGACTATGAAATTCTAATCTAGAACATTTTCTCTTGTTGTTTGTTGATTCATCTGGCGAAAAATCTTCCTTAGTTAGATCCTCAATAGACCTGTTCCAATAATAAGTATTGAGATGCTGAAATTTATTATATACACAAGTACTTTGGGATGTGCTTACATATTTGAATGGAAAATTTTACATTTTAAACTTTCTCTTGTGCCACGACAGTGATCCAACCAAAGTTAGACACCAGAAGAGCATAAAGATAACATCAGCAGCTAACAAAGAACTGATTACTACTAAGAAACTCTCCTGCAATTCATGTAACACTAAATAGTGACTTAAATAGGTTAATAAGTCCTCAATTGTAATCATCTATCAAATTAATTTCTTATTTTTTGAATTAGTTAATGCATCCCTGAAATTGTAAAATGTCACTCAAAATAGTGTCAAGGTTAACTTTTTCCTTAGAGGCTATGACTTGGCGACATGACTTGTCGCGTTAAGTTAAGTGGACATGTCACATTAATTGATCTAAATAATGTCACATTAATTGATCTAAATAATGTCACATTAATTTATCTCAAATAAATGTCACTTCACTAGGGATAAATTTGTCTATTGTCCATGAATTTTGCTTATACACATCAACTTGGAGACAAATATATTAGTAGTTGCAATTGTGCAAGGATCAATGACCGGAAAATTAAGTTTGGATCAATGGAATAGAACGGAGTGGAACGAAATGGAACATGATGGAATGGAATGGAGTGGAGTGGAATGGACATAGACTCCATTCCATTATTTGTCTATTTTTTATAATTGGACAAAATATAGAAAATTGAAGGACCAAATGGAATAGATTCGGTCATGTTCCATTCCGCTCTATTCATTATTTGCAAATTCAAACAATAGAATCACATTATTTACCACTCCATTCAATTTCATCCCGAACCACCAACTTAAATAGCGATTATTTTAAACGACTTTTTACTATTTCATTGATGTATTTGCCAATTCTCAAAAACTCAAGACTATTTTGACAAATGATTACAAATTCAACTATAAATTTGCATGTTTACTCACAATAATATAACAATGAACAAGATAACAGCTAGTACTCAAAACACACACAAAAATCACCAATCAACCATAATCGCCAATTTAGCCCTAAAATTGGGCTTGCATGAAACTAACAATATTTATGAAATATCAAATCACATTAGTACTGGTTGATCAAAGAAAACCAATATTATAGAATTGAGATCCCTAAAATTCAATTTTATTACAAAATTATTAGTGATTCATTATTAAGTCCTAACTTTCTCATAATAGTTCAGAATTAAGATTACGATATACAATACTTAACCAGAATTTAGTAAATTACAATCAAGGAGAGAATGAGAAATGATCTTACAAGTGAAATTAGAAATTGTAACAACAACATCATCATCATCACCTGAAATAGTTTCAAAACTTAGGTTAAAAAATTTCATAAATTTTACAGCATCTAAACAATTCACAAAATTAAGATAAGATTCTAACAAGGACACGTTATCGATTGAGATTATCGATGCAGAGAGAAGTGAGGATGGTTTCGCCTCCGTGATTGTATTGGATCGGAATTGTGGTTATGTGAAAAGGAGAGGAACACGGCAAATGACTTGTAACAGTTTATATACTCTTTCACTGTGCCCGGTCTCACCGGTTCCGCAAAATGTAATACTTTTACTTCGGCTCCTAATTTGTTTTTATTTTCTCTAATATTGATTTTGAGTTTTGTAAGAATTTTGGCTTATTGTTGTTTAGTATCTTGAATGATCAAATGGATTATTTGAGTTTGAGTTGTGTTATTTTTATTTTGCTCAATATCATAAGAATAATGATTTTTGATTTTTGATAATAGCGTTCTGAACGCATTTTATCAAGATGATATTTAAATTTGCATTCTTTTTAAATTTTAAGAAGATGATCGATTAATTGAATTTATGATAAATGTTGTTAGATAGTACTTTTGTCTTGTTAATTTGTAAAGTATGATTCTAACAATAATACTGATATATGGCGAGCTTGCGCATCAAATTTTACGTAAAAATGAGGGAGCCATTGAAGACCCGACATAAGGTTTATCGGTAAGGTGGTGATTTGCATTTTTGCAAGATTAAGTATGAAAGACTTAACACTTTATGCTTTAGATGTGACAGACATAGGCAATCAAAAAAGTTGTATCATGTGCTGTTTGAAACTGATAACAATGGTGTGAGGCTTACTTCAATCTTCAGATAGAGGTCTGTGCGACGTAGAAGCAAGAAGCTCATAAAACAAATGGCAGAGAAGCTAACTCAGACAAGGGTGGGACCTACACAGGTCTAGGAGATAGCTATAACGACCTAGTCAACAATGGAGTAAAAAGTTGTAAAACATTAATGCATATTTTCCTATTCATTCCAACAACGATTTGGAAAATATTATAATTAAGTCCACATTTACGAGAAACTTAAATGGAAATAGCACAATAGAAAATAATGACCAACAATTGATTGTTGTAAACAATTAGAAACTTTCAATTAGTGGCACGATAGCTCCATTCATAACTAAATTCCTCGCCATGGGAGTAGTCATGTATTTTTTTGTAACAGCTAATGCATAATGGGGAATTTATTACATGACAAAAAAAGGAAGAAAAGAATAGGGTCACATAATAAGATCAGTCCATGGTTACATAAGACATCTCGAGTTTAACATATATTGTAACAACTCAATCAAACTGATTTTTTTCATTTGAAAACTTGGTATTAGATCCAAGGAACGACTAATCCTGGGGATTAATCTCAATGTTCATTATCAAGAGAGATACGAACTTGAGATCTTAATAAAAACGCGCTCTTAGATTTCAAGTCTTCCCCGCCAAGTCAACTTATGAGGGTTTAATCGAACTAACATTTTAATTGGAAAGTTCATGTTCCTAGGGCTACTATAACTAGGGTTAGCAACGAGACGTGGGCAGATTTCCTCTCTTCAGTCCCTCCCATTACGCCACCTCCTGAAACCTTGCATTTATTTCCCATCAAAGTTTGAATTTGTGTCCTCGCAACACCACCCATCTTTGACCTAAATTTTGAATATCAAAGAAAATATGTCTCTACATTTGTTTAAAAAAAGGATTTCTCATCAAAGTCGAGATAGATTTAGGCACTTGTAGATTATGTTGTCATGCCTAATATGAAGTAGTAATCAATTTATTAATATGTGATGTTGTTTTTACAAGTTTATCCTTAAAAAAAACATAGTTTGTTTTATGTTTGCATCATAATATTTATTAAATTATAGAAAATAAGATAAAAAATAATTAAGGTTGTGTTGATAAATAAATAATTAACATATTTATAATTAATCTTTTGAAAGGGATGGTATAATTTCTCAAGATGTTCTTATGTTTAAAGATTTACTAGTGGAAAATATATGCTATAACACTAATATTTCAACATCAAATTTTGACACCTTACTAAACATATTTCAAGTGTTTGTTGCATTCCAAAGTTTGCCTAACTCTATCTAACCCAAATTGAGTTGTGCTTCATATATATATATATATATATATATATATATATATATATATATATATATATATATATATATATATATATATATATATATATATATATATATATATATATATATATATATATATATATATATATATATATATATATATATATATATATATATATATATATATATATATATATATATATATATATATATATATATATATATATATATATATATATATATATATATATATATATATATATATATATATATATATATATATATATATATATATATATATATATATATATATATATATATATATATATATATATATATATATATATATATATATATATATATATATATATATATATATATATATATATATATATATTAGGTCATACAATTTTTTATCATTCATTTCATAAGTTCCTAAGGCATGAAATTAAAGGTTTTCTAGTGATTTGGGGTTTCCCCCATTCAAATGTGATTTAATTGGTAATTATCCTCAAGTTGAGGCATGGTTTGAACTATCATCATCATGAGCATCTTCTTATCAAGGTTCATAAAGTATCAAGGTCAGTTCCTTCAGAATTTCTCAAAAAGCCTCATTGTGCATCTCAAGGAGAATTAGGTTTTCCCTTGCATGGTTGTTTGAAGTTCATCACCACTTACCATATCAAATTAACGTCCAAGTTCAAAATCCATTTTAATATCTATTTTCCGTTCTTCGTTATCCATTCTCCTTAACCATTTTCTTGTCATCCAATTACCCATAAACCAATTCATCATCACTCCAAATATCCAACTATCCATAAACTAATTTTTTCTTATCCATTATCCAAATCCACTTACCTAGTAGTTCATATCCATTTTTATCCATTTAATCTCAATATATATCTTTAACTTCATGATCCAGATTCTAAATTCATCCATGTTTACAAACCTTTTTCCAATTCATAACCATTTTCTTACAATCCAAATATCCAAATCCATATTAAATATCCAATTCAAAAATCCAAAATTCTATTTCTTTTCTTTATGTCAAAGTTATAGATTTCAAGTTAAAAGTGTCAATTTCAAATCCATATCCAAATTTCAAACTTCAAGTCCATATCACCCATGTTCATTTTATGATTTCAAATTTCATACTTCAAGTTCACCATTCAAGTATTCAAGTTACAAATTCAATCTTAATTCAAGGAGATTTTGCATACTAATATTTTCATGTGATTAAGATCAAAGAAGAATAAGTTTTATAAAATTTTATTCCAAAGATTCAAGGTTACAAAATGCAAGGTGTACAAGATGATTTCAAGATTCAATAGTTCTTTACAAAGTTCAGATGTTCTTTATAAGACAAGCTCAAATTAATCTCACTACAAAAAGTTCCAAAAAGTTCAATTTCCA